CTCAGTCCAAGTCATCCAATCAGCACTCAATCCCAATTCCCACCTTATTCAGACTTTTTACTGTGTTGCTACAGAGATTCTCTCTCCCAGAAAGTGATTTCAAGCTCTCAGTTTTGAATGTAAATTCTAACTTAACACATACTCCTTAGCAAAGATCACTGTGTTCCATTAGAGTAAGGGGACAAACAGAGGCCCTATTTCTTTTACATTACGCCTGGAACCTCTGAAGAAAGGGTCAGAAGAAAGTGATGGTTAAACCATAAATTAATTACAACAATCTACGTAGCAGAGAGGAAAATACAAAAAGTACCATAAACTGAGGGAGAATACAGTAACTTGCATAGAGCTTTGATGTTTCATCTCCCAAGACTAAGATTTTTTTCAACTACATTGCCCAAAGAACTTTATAACCCCAAGGAAAATGGCTCTCTCAGAGTAAGCCTAAATTTCTTGAATACAAATGACCTTTAACATTGCTTTTAAAACTACTCTGCTCTGGTTAGTTTCAACTAGCTAACCCGTAAATCACAGTCCTCAAGCCTGGAAAGGAGCACTGTGGTGGAAGAATCCCTTCTGGAGAGCATTAACTCTCAGTCAAGAACTGGAAAGTTTAGAGCAAAAGCTCCCTAACTCAGAACCCAGTCAATATGCCTTCCCCTGGCCCAGGAATGGATTCAAGGTTTCTTTTGTACTATCTAGAAACTTGATCTGAACAGGTCTACCTACTCTCTCTGGACCTCAGTGTTCTTTTCGGCTATATAAACGTTTTGGACCAGTTCTCTCTCTTCCAGGAAAGGATATTTACCTAAATTGCAGCAGGTATATGTAACTTAAAAGCAATCATCTTCAAATATCTCACTGCACAATGTGTAATCAAATCAATGGCTTCGTTATAATCCAGTCTTACCGATGCAGTAAAGCAGGCAATGCAGGGACCACTACTTGGCAACTTAAGTTACATGAACGATAATTAGAATAAGGATACCAGGAAATACTGTGTGCCAGGCACTATGCTGGGCATTTTACATGTATTAGCACAGTTAACTCCTTCTCTCAAGGAAGAAGTTCCATTGTCTCTCTTTTACAGATGAAGGCAAAAATGAAGTAACTTGCTCAGGACCAAGAGATGGCTGGCAAGACGCAGTGCCAGGATAGGAACTCAGGTTTGACGATTCTCACAGCCCAAGCTCTCCCAGTCTACTCTATATTGCCTCTGAAAGAAACATGAAATTAAAAAGATGACTATAATTGACATAATCATAGACTAGTAGTGATGAAAAGAACCCCTGATTCATGATTGAGGAAACTGAGGCTTCTAGAGATAAAATGACCAGCTCTACCTTCTATGACCTTAGTCAGAGAGACAGGGCTCTGAATCTCCTGACAACCAGCTTTAGGTCTCCCTGCTACACTACCTGACGAAGGCGATCACTCAGAGGATTCCCCATCACCCTGACCTCTCACGGGGCGAACAATGCCTCAAAGTATGTTTAAATCACAAAGTACTGACCAAAACTTAGGAATCTTAGGATATTTATAAAGCTGATTTTTACAATGGAACTAAAGCACAGAAAATAATGTGTTCTAAGAGGAACAAAGTAAAAAGAAATGAAAAGCATGTCAAAACACTTTGTTCAGTAAAACTATTCCACGTTAAAGCATAACACATTTTATTAACTAATACAAGTTACCCCTGAAGTGACAGTTGAGCCACTGACAACCACAAATCTGATTAAATATATTGGATTCAATGTTCCAAATACAGGTTGCACATTTAAAGGACTTTTACCTCAAAAATTTTACCATTAACATATCCTCTTCTGTAAGAGTCTTACTGTTACTATTAGCAAACTGTGATACTGAAAACCAACTTGGGAAAGAAGTTGACATAATAACACACACTTCAGAAAACAAAGAACTCGAGTCAACCTTAAAATCCTGTCACTGTGCTCCTCTAGCTAGAAGACAACAAAGAGGAAGAGGACCAAACAAATGATCAAAGAAATACATAGGCTACAGATTCCTCCTCTGCGGGCTTACTGCTAAGATCATGGGAACATTCACACTTTCGGAGAGAAAAACACTACTCATTTCAAAATAAATTACGCTCCACAAGTGTAGGAAATAACTAACCGGAGGTAGGCTAGAATGAGCATTCCTTCTTCTTACTGCATTCTATGATTACTAAGTTCTAAAAGAAACCAGTGACAACTCAGATTTGCTACAGCACTGAATACAGAAAGACAGTCTGGTCACCACACGAGAACAAAGCCTAAGTTAAACGTTTAGAATTGCATTCTGGTCTTTGTTTTCAAATCTAATTGATGAAACTTTTTCTATCACTATAAATAGACAGTATTTTAATTACCAAGTAATGCCAGAGTCCACTGATCTAGCCTAGGTCTCAATTAGATTATAAGAACTGAATCAGCATTTTAGGACTACAGTGCTCTATCCCCCTCATGCACTGTTTGCGAGGGATGACTGAAATGAATCTTCCTTGGACCATGTAAGGAATATCAGGTGGTCCTAGTTTCAATCATTTGTTTTCAAAATTAAATGGGGTCAAGTTGGAATAGTGTGGACAAATAAAATCTGACTTAAAAAAAATTAAAATCAACTTCTTCCACTCACACATCTTTACCAGAGACAGTTTTCTTAAAAAAGGCTTTCTGACAAGTTTCACATTCACCTGTCCAAATTCTGGTTTAAAAAAAAATAACGATAAATTCAAAACTCAGGCAGAGAGAAAGAAAAAGCAGTAAAAATCACAGTCTCAATTCTACATTATTTCTAACTTGTACTCATGGAAAGAACCTGTCTTAAGTTTAAAGATCTAAAAAAAAATTTTTGCCATCAAACAAATATGGTATACCATTTCTAGTCCAAAATGGAAGTCTTCTCTTCCCTTAGATTTTAAGTTATACGAGAACACACCTAAAAAAAAAATCACTAGGAAACAGTAAAGTCCCACCATTTTCAGCCATATCTGGGAATGTGTCCCACTGCTCAGACTGGCAAAACAGGGTTTGAAATTATTTCATACCAGTTAGATTCCTTTCCAGATTAAGACAAACACAAAATAAGAAATTTGGAAATGTTAATACTAAGACCCAATCAATTGGCAGTAAGACTATGCAACAGAACATTTAAGATGTTCTATTTTTTAGAATGGCAAGTGTCTAGCAAATTTATGCGTGCACTCATTCCATCAAAAATGCAAGGACAGCTCAAAGTATGATCCTATTACCTTTGCCATTTCAATGGAGAACAACTCCAAAGAAGTCCGGTTCATGACTAACAAAGCAGAGACAGACATCAGTCTTTAGAAGAACATCAGAAATCTAATTCCTGTTGTTGCCATCAAATATACCCTTTTCTTTAGGCATATACAACATATTTAAATAAAGCTTTCAAAACTAATATAACCAAAATGTATCAAAAACCGAGCAACTAACTAAAACTAAAAGATCTACACAAGCTGATTTTAAAAAAGTGGAGGAAACTTGGTGACAAGCTTTTGCTTTATGTTCTGTGTATTAACACAAAGATGGACTTGACCTACAAAATGAAGATAGGGTCAACGGTAACCAAAAAACAGTATGCTTCCCCTGGTGGCCAACCAAGGAATGGAAAAGGCATTACAGAAGAGAAAAAGCCTGGTCTCCTAGTCCTATCCTGTCACTCTTATGAGAAGTGACTACCAAAAAAGGAAGATGTGGGGGAAGGGGAAACCAACATGAGTTTAAAAAGAACACAAACCTGGGTGTTACACTACACACATTTAAGAGATTTAAACCAACAGACCAAAATGTAGAAGGCAAATATGGGAAAGGTCTTTTACTTCCAGAATGCCAAGAGCTCACTCAGGGATCCCCATGTATTTTCACTTCAAAGAACAAGAACACTCAGAATTTAGTACCTTAATAACAACTTAAGAGCCATGGCTTTTTTTCAAGGACTAGATCCTTGCAATTTTCTGCAGTCTTGTTTCCAAGGAAAAGCATTCGTGCATTTGTTTTCTCAAATAAACTAGTGGTATAACCTACACAGAGAACCTCCAGCTCTAAATCCCTCCAACCAGGAGGACTGTTAACTCCAGTTCCACAAGATTCTCTTTTGAATTTTATTTCTAAAATAAAACCCGCGACCTTCCAAACATTTTCTACGCCAACAATCTTCAAAGACAGTCTCATACAGAAACAGCCTAGAATCTCCTGTATTAAAATCCGACGAATTCCTTTGTCTGATTGGATTTTTTCTGGTACCACTTTAAATTTCCTTCCACACAGACTAGCAGCAAGGGAACTAAATGTTCATTCTAGGGTGTAGGCATCTCTTGGAGGTGGAAACCATTTGTTAGGCTAAAGCTTCTGAAGGTTCTATTCTTTCACAACCCCTTCCTTAAGAAAAAAGGAAATACACGCACATTTACAAATAGGTCCTAAAATCAAACTGCCACAAGCCTCTCCTCCCCAGGCAGGCGCCCTCTGGGAAGCACACTTCTTTTATTAACTGATTTGGGGGGGTCGTTATTCTACTCGCCCTCGGGATGGGAGGGAAGCCTGGGGACCGGCGGGAGGAGGACAAGGCATGGGGGGCACCCTGGGTAGGGGAGAAGCGAGCCGAGGGCGTCCCAGGTCGGGGGCGCTCGCCGGCGCTAACTCTCCGGCACTGCCACCCCTACCGAGGCGCGGCTCGTCCGGACCCGGGGACCGCCGGAGCCCCGGCCCAGGCGTGGCCGCCCCGGCACCGCCGCCTCCCCCCGGGGCCGCAGGGGGACAGCGGCACCCACCCGACTGGGCCGACTCGGGCCTTCCCCGTGCGCGGAGGCACGTTGGCAGCACACGTTCGTGTGTCTCCCTCGTTCTCGCCCTGCTGTTCTCCCCGCGGACGGCAGGGCGAACACACAAAAAGAAAGTTGTCCGAGGGCTCCCGCCCCCTCGGGGCGCGGGGGACCGGGGCGCACCCGCCGCCGGCCGACCCGGGGCGCTACTCACCCGGGTCGAAGTCGGGCACCACCGCCTGGTACTGGGGTCCGACGCGCATGCCGCCGCCACCTGCGGGGAAGCAGAGCACGGCGGTCAGCGGGCGCGGGCTGGGGGCGCGGGGGCGGCGCGCGGCGGCTGCCACCCACCACCTACCGTGCTCCTCGTCGCTGGACGAGCCCGAGCTGCCTTCCTCCCAGGAGTTGCTGCTGCTGTTGCCATTGGGCGCCGCCGCCGCCAAACTTTTATTCTGCCCATTATTGGGGGCGGCGGCGGCCGAGGCGGCGGCGGAGGCGGAGGCGGCGGCGGCGGCCGAGGCGGCAGCGGCCGAGGCGGAGGCGGAGGCGGCCGCGGCGGAGGCGGCGGCGGCCGAGGCGGCCGCGCTGGCCGCGTTGTTCCTGCCTCTCCGCTTCCCTGAGACCTCGGGGCCCTTCTCCACCATGGCCGGCATCGGCGGGGGCCGGGGCCGGGCTAAAGTGGCGGGGACCCGCGGCTCCTGAGGAGGGGCGCCGGGCCGGGGGAGGGGGTGCGGGCGGGCGCGGGGCCGGGGGCGCGGCGGGAGCCCGCGGGCGCGAGTTGGGGCTGGGGGCGGCCCTGGCAGGCGGAGCGCGGAGCTGCTTCAAGCCCCCAGCGCCAAGCCGAGCGCAACTTTCGCTCTCATCGCCGCCCGCACTTCACTGGCACTAACTACTCCGGGAGCAGCGAGCGGGAGGGGAGGGGGCGGGGCCTGGGACGAGCAGGGTGGGGGGGGGGAAGCCGCGCGCAGCCCAACCCGACGCGGGGACGGCTCCGCCCCCCACGCGCTCCCATTGGCTCTTGTGGGATTTGGACGGCGAGCGGCCGCCCGGTTGGCTCGGCACACCCGTCCGTCCAAGGGACCGGGGCAGGGGAGCCGGGAGGGGGAGGCTCGGGGCTTCCGTTGGTCAGGTTCGGTTGACGCGTATCGCCCGCTGTACGTGGTTTGAGGTTTGCAATCTCTCTACGCCCCATGATCCATCTCTCTAGGCAATAGCGGGGAGTTAGCTGCCCTCCCCGCCCCCTCCCTCTGCCGCGGCCCCTGCCCTTCTCACCTGCGCGCACCCCCCGCCGCCTCTCCCCCGACATTCACCGAAGGGCCCCACTGAGAGTCCCATCAGCTTCAAAAAGTAAAATATGCACGACGCCAGAACAGAAATTGAATGCAAGGTCGGGACTACTTTCCCCCTCGCGCGGAGGATTACATTCCACAGTTTGAATGGGTTCTATACAAAGAGAAGAAACTAATTGGAAGAAACTAATTGCGCCCCCACCTTTCCCATGGGGTTTGGGGTGTACCAGGTCCGGGGGACCCCTGATGCAGGGGACAGGGTTATCAGGTGACTGTCTCCCCTGGAGGGGAAGGAAGCAGCATGGGAGCTCGGGGGTTTGTGGAGCTTTCTGCTAATGAGGTGGGGGAGGTGGGGAGTCGCCCCATTGGCCCGAGTTGCGGGGCGCGCCGCGTTTGCGGAGGCCGGAGGGGAGGGTTCCCAGCGGCCCCTGCCCGGACGCAGAGTCCGGGCGCGGGGTCCCTGACATCCTCGATGACTGTTTAGAGATCAGTGAAGGGTCCGAACTGTCCTGGGGGGAGGGGAGCACTCCCCATTTCTCTAGTAGGGAGGGAGACTTACAGTAATGGGCTGGGGGCCGGGAAGGGTAAAGAGGAAGAAGCTATTTTCATCCCAAACCCTTGGTAGGGGAGGAGGGTCAACTTCCTCCGAGGCAAGAGCCACTTTTCCGGATCTGCTGCCTGTCCTGCCTCCCCCACTCCACCCCGGGCACCAGGCGAGGGAGAGCACCACCCAGCCCAAGACATCGCTGCCCCGGAGAGTGACCACCGGCCGGCCCAGTAGCTGCCTTATATAGCTGGATGGGGGTAAGGGGAGTGTGACTCCCCGGGAGGTTCATATCTGCCCCACCCCCACCCAGCCCCCAAGCGACGCGCAGTCCGTACAGAATTAGGAGGCCAGAGGAGGTCTATAAATGAAATTTTTTTTTAACGCAGCGGATGGCTATTTTTCTTTTAAGTTGTTTCAAAACTGAGTTTAATACAGGATATAAATAGGTACAGGGAGAAATCTGGAGTCTTATGGTTTTAAAGCCTGAATAAATAAGCAGGGTGTTCTCTTTCACATTTTCTGCAGCATGAACCATCATTATTAACTTCAGTGAAGTGACCACGTTCACTTCTGCCTAAATGGCCTTTAAGAAACAGGGCTGGAGGCCCTCCCCGTGGAGGAGCCCTGCCCCCACCAAGTTTAGGGTCACAGTTCCTGGACTCCTCTTGAAAGGATGCCCCTCTCCTTGGAGAGCCCTAGGCAGTGCCGGTATATGCCCCTGGGAAACTCCAGACGGTTGGCCAGAGTAGGGTGCAGACGGCAAAGCCAAGGTTTAGAACCAGAGGTTGCATTCTTGGGGCTGGGCCACCTGGCTGAGGGCTGTGACTCATCTAGAGGCTGAGCACTCTGCCCTGCTCATTTGGTGTCTCTTTAAGTTTTACCACCAGACTCGAAAAGTTAGCCTACAAGGACACAAAGGTGATACTGAGTCATTTATTAGGGCAGCAGGGATGGCACAGCACATGGAGTCACCAGCCCTACCCACCGAACACCAAGGTTGGGGCTACTTCCTGGCTGGGTTATGACTGTGGGTCCATCACTGGACTCCAACCATTCACTTTTTTCAACGAATTTTAACACCTAAGTTACCTCAACATGTGCCAGGTTCTGTTCTAGTTTGTCTGACCCCAAAGCAATGTGGATACTATATTGGCCTTCGCCCTCTCTGTTTCTTCATTGGTAAAACACAGATTATGGTGCCTACCTACTGGCCTGGTGAATTTTCAGAGTCCATCGCCCTGTCTCCCTCCACCATAGGGAGCCCTCCAACCTGAAGGAAATCCCCCTTCCTAACCCCTGCGTGTTGCTTGGGCGGGGGGGGGGGGGGGGGGTCCACACCCAACCCTTCTGATGGGGAATTTGCAGTCTCCAACTTCAAGCTGCCCCTCTGTACAGTCAGTGGCCCTGCTGGGGGCTTTCCATGACTCTCCCACTCTCTGAGACTAAGATTTCACACCTTCTCTCTTCTCCCTACAACTCCCACAGCCCCTTCTGCCCTCACTCCCAGCCAACGACCTCACTCATCCTTCAATGAGAAAAGCTGAAACCACCAAATGGGATCTCTCTCCTCTTCCAGTGCCTCGAGAGGACACATCTCCCTGCCTGGCACCCGCCTCCCTCCACACCCTCATCCCCCGGCCCCGGGTTCCCCCACCAAGATCTTGATCTCAGGCATCCACCTCCTGCTACCCTCCCCTCACTGTTCTCCTGGGCCGTCAGCCTCTCTCTTTCCCCTGGGTCAGCATTTTCCAAAAAAACGGAAAAACTCTCCCTTGCTCCTAAGCGCCCTTCAGCCTCCTCCCCATTTTTCTACTCCTCCAACGAAAACTACAAAGACACATCTATACCTGCCTTCTCCACTCCCTTCCCAGTCTCTCCTCACCCTACCCCAGCAGGGCTGTGTCCCCACTCTCAACTCTTGCTAAGGTCACCCACAACCTCCCTGCTACCCAATCCAGCAGCCACTTTTTGGTCTCACTGAGCTTCTCGGCAGCATCGGAGTCCACTACACCGAAACTCCCTCACTTCTCTGGATGTTGGTTTGCCATCTTCTGGCTCTGCTCCTACCTCACAGGCCACGCCCCTTCCTTCCAACCTGTAATTGTTGGGGTTCCTCATGGGCCCTCTTCTCTGTCTCTGCTGCATAGTAGGTGCTCATTAAATATTTGTTGGGTGAGAAATGAACGATACAGGGAGTACAGGCTGCTGTGGGTGCACAGAGCAGGAATCACTCTCAGGGAGGGGAGGGTTCCCGGAACACACGAGGTCTGACCTAGACGAGAAATATGCCCTTCAAGGAGGACCTTTTGGTTTTGTCAGCCCAGCATCTCCCTAGAGGAATCCCCAACATCCTCCTCGAGGCGGTTGGGTGGGGCTTCCCCATCTCTGACCAGCACACGACCCAGGTCTGACCAATCAGAGCTCCCCAGCCCTCTGGCTGCAGTGATTGGCTCAGGCATAGGCACGTGGCCTATCCAGCCTAACAAGGCCTGTCCAGAAGTTTTTCTGGAACTCTCAGAAAAGAGAGTGTCTTTCTGAAGTCAGGAACTGAGGACTGGTAAAGCCTAGAGCCTCCAGGCCAGGTGCCCAGGGCTGGAAACTGGAGGAGGCGCTTGGCTCGGGCTCTCTGGCGCGCAGTGTGAGCCCTCCAGTGCGGGCCCTGCTTCGGGAAGCCCTCCGCACCCCGACAGTCTGTGGAGAAAGGAGGGTTGAGTTGAACTCTCCCGCTCCCCACGCCCCATAAGCCAGGTCTCAAATCCTGGCCTTTTAAATTGAGCAGTTTGAGTTTCTGTTACAACTCAATCCTGAATAATACAAATGATTAGGCATTAGCCTGGTGCAAAACAAGGAAGAGAATATGCGCGCAGAGGAAATAGCACCTTTCTGTCTCCTGTGAAAGGCTTAAGAATAACGGCTAACATCTTCAGGGGGTAATGGTGCGCCTGGTTCTGCTCTCTGTTGGAATCGGAGGCTCTTGTAATCCGCCCAGTAATCCCATCAAGGGAACACGGTTATGACGGGCTCCTCCAGGCCTTGTAGGTAAGGAAATTGAGGCATCTGGCGGCGAAGTAGTCTGCGTGAAGCACAGCCCGCACACTCAGTGACAGAGCTCTGCTGCCAGCTGCCTCGCCGGGGACCTAGGAAGGCTGGGAGGCAAGGGGAGAGGATGTGCGCAGGACGCCTTGTCTGATTCTACACGGAGTGTTTATAATTTTTATCGCTGCTATTTTTTTTAGTTTTAGTATTGTTAGATAGCTCGTTAGAAAATTCTGCTAGGCAAGGAATAGTTTCCCCAAGGCTGGAGCCAGGCAAAGGGCAGGGTGTGCCTGGGGCACGAGGCTGGCGGGAAAACAGCCCTGAAGCCAGTCCTAGGAGGGTTCAAACCCCCAAAACACTTTTCAGAAACTGAGAGTTCGGCAGGAATTTTAGCCATCCCAGGAGTTCTTAACCTGCAATCTGTGGATAGAATTCAGGGAACTATGAACATGGCAGGGTAATTACAGCTTTATTTAAATGAACCTTTAACTGAATCTAGCATTTTCTTCAATTATGAATCTAGGCATTATTAGCAAGGGCTGTGACTCTGCCACCCATAGAAATCATAATACTGTCTCATCACACGCAGTTGTTGGAGACATCTCAGAACAGCGTGTACACTCATCTCGAAAATCACAGAAGATAGACCTGCCGCCAGAGTTTGTTACTTAATGTGTTAGTAACTCAACAAATAACTCAAAATGGATCGTAGACCTAACTGTAAGAGCTAGAACTGTAAAACTCTTGGGAGAAAACAAAGGAGTAAATCTTCATGACCTTGAGTTAAGCAAAGATTTCTTAAATACAATTCCAAAGGCATAAGGAACAAAAGAGAAAAATAGATAAATTGGACTTCATCAAAATTAAAAACTTTTATGTTGAAAACAATACCATCAAGAAAGTGAAGAAAGACAGTCCACACTGTGGAAGACGATGTTTGCAAATCATGCCTGGTAAAATGCACTTTAGCTAAAATATATACAGAACTGTCACAACTCAACAATAAAAAATG